TGTCATATTTATGACTTGTACATATTTCATTTTAAAACAACAAACAAATCTAACTTTTATGAGTGGTTTTTGCTATGCCATTTGGTTATTTCTCATTTTCACTTCATATTTTACACATTTGTGTCTTCTACCCCTCTCTTTTAAATGATCAAATTAAGTGGTTTATGTGTTTTATTATTTTTTTAGTCACAAAGTCATGCATTTAAAGTATATTTAGTAATACATGAAAATTTTAATTATTAAAATTTAGGAGAGATAACCTGAATTAAGGCCCATGATGCCAATTTTTAAAAAGAAAATTCATTAATATTTTATAGACAAAAAAGGGAACAAAATGAAATATATCCAAATACTAACAATGTTTATATCTGGTTAGTAAGATGGAAGGTGATTTTAAGTTTTTGTACATTTTTTATATTATCTAAAATTTAGAAATTAATTTAATGTTTTAAATTACTAGAGTTAATTTTTTAGAATAGTTTTCGTGTTATAGAAAAACTAAGCAGGTGGTAGAGAGAGTTCCATATACTCACACCCAGCTTCCCCTATTATGGTACATTTATCACAACTAATGAACCAGTATTGATTATTGTTATTAACTAAAGACCATACTTCATTCAGATATCCTTAGGTTTTACCTAATGCCCTTCTTTTGTTCCAGGACCTTATCCAGGACACGACATTACATTTAGTAGTTATGTCTCTTTGGGCTCCTCTTGGCTGTGATAGTTTCTCAGACTTGTCTTTATGGCCTTCACAGTTTGGAGGAGTGTTGGTCAGGTATTTTGATGGAATTTGTCCTATGTTTTTCTACTGATTAGACTTAGGGGTCTGGAAGAGGAAGACCATAGAAGTAATGTGTTATTTCATTACATCATATCAAGGGTATGTACTATCAACACGATAGGTTAATATAATAGATAATAATATAATAATAATAAGATAATATAATATAGACTAAATGATTGGATTAGATGGTTTGTATGTTTTATTGGTTTGGTTTTTGTGGTATTTTTTCCCCCAAGGATTTGCTCAGATTTTTTTTATTAGTTCTGTTATTTTTCTAATTTATCATGTTTAATTCATGTATTTCCATTCTTTTTTTATTTACTAACATAAGTAAAAGTTAAGATTCCCTTTGAGCACTATTTTAGTGGGATCCCACAGATTCTAATACACAGACTATTTCTTATTATTCTTATTTTCTTGGTATTATACACTTTTTATATAGATCTCTCTTTTTAACCTGGGTTGTTTAAGAGTTTATTTTTTACTTATTTTTAGTCATTTTACTGTTTATACCATAGTCACATTTAAGTTGGAAAAACGGGTCCATGACAGATAGGACAGATAGGACCTGTCACACAAAGAAAAATAAGTGAAGGGTTTCATAAAGCATGAGGAGAGAAGTACTGCAGTAACACAAGGCTGGCCGGCTGCAGCAATCTGCCCACAGCGCCAAGGCACGCGAGTGGGTAAGAGTAAAGGGTGCTCCAGCGGGTTGGCCTACTTGTGTTGGTCTAAGACCACTGTTGTTTCCTAAGGGGAATATTATGCTTGGTATTGTAGCGTGGATAAAAATAGAATAGGGTGACCAAAGAAGGTTTTTAAAAAGACTCAAGTGGTAGGGTTTTGTGATTCATAATTTTGTGATTAGAATTCCATTATCAGTTACTGTATTATTTCAGCTTTTTTTGGTGAGGTCTTATTTGTGGCCTAATATATGGGAAATTTTTTGAAATATGCCTCAATTAAAATTATCTTTTTAATTATGCAATTTTGGTTTTTCTGTCTTTACCTAATTTGGTCCCTGGATCTGTCATGAACTAAAAGAGGTAAATTAAAATCACCTGCCTCTACTGTGCATCCCTCTGTCCTTCTTGTGTTTCTTGCAGCTTTTGCTCTGAATGTGGTTGCTGTTATTTGGTGTGTTAGATCTTCAATTGTGGATCATGTCCTTTGTTATTATAAAGTGTTCTTCTTTGTCTCATTTAAAACTGCTTACCCTGAATTCAGCTTTACTTGACTATATAAAGGCAATAGTGCCTGTTTAATTTGAGATAGCTCTTACCTGGGATATATTTGCCTTTTCTTTATTTTCAGAATTGTCAAATGACTTTGTTTTGGGGATATCTCTTGTAGGAAGCACGCTGTTGGGGCTTTTGTCTTAGTCTCCAATCTTAGAATCCTTTCTTTTGAGTAGTTTTCCTGGGCCATTCATTGACACAGCTGGCATTTTGGTCTTAGTTTTCCTATCATGTTTTATGTCTTTGTCTTTTTGCTTCTATTACTTTTTAAAACAAAATCTTTTATGCTACAGTCTGTTTTGTGTTTTGTTCCCTCTGACAACTGGAAAATTTGTATTTTTAGTTCTTCTCGAGGTAGCCTTTAGAACTATTCAAAATGCATTAATTTTTTTTTTTTATTTTTAAAGACTGTTCTAGTTGTCTCCTTTCTGAAATAAGTGATCATAAAATTAGTTTACAAATTTGGTCAATACTTTTATCTGCTTTGTGACAGCTTTTTTTCTGATGAGTTTCCTTGATTTGTCATATTTTTTTTCTGTTCTTTTCCTCCTTTATTTCTCCTCTAGCACCTTTGACTGCATTGTGTACTGGTCCATCTTTGAAAGAGGCGAAACTTCTCAGGTCAGCACTTGGCAGGGAATGCATAAGGGGAACCATGGAAGTATTCTAGGAGGGCAGCATTGCTCCCAGGCTTATGGTAATTTTGTTCACAGGACCATGGAAGTGATTTCTTTTAGCTTCTACCCAGACAGCAGAGACCTGCAGCGACAGCATTTTCCCAATTCAGGTCCTCCTCCTGCTCTGCCTCACCAACACACTGCTCCCTACAAAGATGGCTGCCTGTGGTTTTCTTTGTTAGCCTTGTCCTCCTCTTTCTTCCGCTTGCCCCCTGCCTCCCACTCACCTTCCCATGGAGTCTGTACCCTATCCTCAGATGTTACCTTATGTTCATGTCCATGTCCCTGGGTTACCTGGGTGTCACAGGCAGCTCCCAACTGCCAGATCACATACCCTGTTCCAATTGTTTCTGATTAGGAATCATTATTTTTTTTTTCCTTCAGGAAGTGCCAGTTAATGAGATCTGCCAGTTTTATCTGAGCTTTGCAGCCACAAGTGTCTCCTGTAGGTACCTTCTCACACCCCATTTGATTTTCACTGCTTTTGGCAGCCTCTCCTTTTAAGTTGTGGTTCAGGTTACAAATGTGTTCCAGTTTTGCTGAAGATAGAATTTCTCCTTTATTTTGGGTGATTTGGGATATGAAAAGGTATAACTTTATCCTGCTATCTTAGAACTGTCTCGTGTTGTGAATTTCCCTTTTTATGTGTTCTGGTATTCCTCCAGGTTAAACATTAGCCAGAGCTCTCTTGGTGGAGTTGGCACGAGCAGGAGCTGGGGTCCAATTGGAGAAAGCAAAGAATATGGGAATTGAGAATAAAATAGGAGAATTAAAAAAGAGAGTCACAGCACCCCCACCTGTGATTTGTGGCAGCAGGGTTCTTTCCCTCTCCACCTGCCCTTTGGCTGGGAGCGTGCCACTGTTTGGGTGGGAGGTCACGGCCAGGCTGAACAGGGGATGAAAAACGCCTGTCTCCTGGTCTGTCTCAGGAAGTTGTTTTGAGCCCAGCAACACTCAGGCCAGGGCAGGGAGGGCGCAGGCCTCTGTTCTGGACAGGCTGCAGGGCTCAGCTCTCCATCTCAGCCCACACCAGGGCCCATCCAACACCCTGGCTCGGGTTGGCCTCCTAGTGCTTGTGGCCAAGTCCTCCTCCCTGAAAACCAGGATCCTGCCTCAGAGGAGGCTTCCAGAGTTAATGATCTTTATACGCCCATAGAGAGAGCTTGCCCTTCCAAAGGGAAAGGTTTTCCTTGGGACGCCAGTAGGATAGAGCCAGAGAGAAAAACCTGCCCGCAGAGTCTCAGGCCAGCCCTTTACATTATTGTCACAGATTCCCACGCCACCCAGAAGGAGCGGTTTTATCTCCATTTTACAGATGAGGTAACTGGAGTCTCGGAGAGGCTGAGACCAAGAGACCTTCCTCTGGACTCACAGCTAAGAGATGGAGAGAAGGGTTGGGATGCAATTCTGTTTGGTTCCAGGGCCTCAACATCAGCTCCCTTGTCCCCCTTCTTCCTGCTCACCCTCCCATGGAAACCCCACCCTATCCTTAGGTGGTTGCCTTGTGTCCACATCCATGTTCCTGGGTGATCTTGCTGGATCCTCACTCGGTGTCTTGCTTCTCAACCCTGGCTATACTTCAGATGCTATTTAAGCTCCCCAGGGCAGCCAGGGAGAGGAGAGAGCAGGCCATATCTTACATGTTTTAGGCAACTGTGCCCCCTCAGGCTTGGCACAGGCCTTGTCCTCTGGAATCAAATGCATCTGGGTTCCTCTCCAGCCTCCGTGATCTTGGACAAGTCACTTCTCTGGGTTCAGTCCATTTTTCTAAAATGAAATGAACTATGATTGCTCCTGGTACAAAACATGGACTCTGAAGCCAGATGGGCTCAGTATGAATCTTGGCTAAGCCCCTTATTAGCTGTAGGACTTTGGTTAATTACTTACCCTCTCTCTTTTAGTTTTCTCCTCTATAAAATAGGAATAATGAGTAAGTCTTACAGGGAGGTTTAAGGATGAAATGAGCTAATAAATGTAAATCATTTAGAGCAGTGTCTAGCATATGGCAAGTTCTAGGTAAGTGCCAGATATTACTGTAGTAATTAATTATTATTAATGCGTGGTAAGCACTCAGCTAAAGCATGGGCATAAATGGCCGTTGATGCTGCTGCTATAACCTGTGCCCTTTGCTTCCTTCCAGGAGCTTGGGCCCCTGCCCCAGCCCCGTAGAGGCTGTGGAGGTACACCGTCCGGAAGCCTGGTTCCCAGGCCCCTGGCCCATCCCCGGCTGCGGGGAGTGGCACTTCCCACGAGGTAGCGGCGGCCTGCAGCTGTGGCCCCCTCCTGACAGTGAGCCATGGGCCAGAAGCTCTCCGGGAGCCTCAAGTCGGTGGAGGTTCGAGAGCCCGCGCTACGGCCGGCCAAGCGGGAGCTGCGGGGCGCAGAGCCAGGGCGGCCAGCGCGGCTGGACCAGCTGCTGGACATGCCTGCGGCGGGGCTGGCTGTGCAGCTGCGACACGCGTGGAACCCTGAGGACCGTTCACTCAATGTCTTCGTCAAGGATGACGACCGGCTCACCTTCCACCGGCACCCGGTGGCCCAAAGCACTGACGGCATCCGCGGCAAGGTGGGCCATGCCCGCGGCCTGCATGCCTGGCAGATCCACTGGCCAGCTCGGCAGCGGGGCACCCACGCGGTTGTGGGTGTGGCCACGGCGCGGGCACCCCTGCACTCGGTAGGCTACACGGCGCTGGTGGGCAGTGACGCCGAGTCGTGGGGCTGGGACCTGGGCCGCAGTCGCCTCTACCACGATGGCAAGAACCGTCCCGGAGTGGCCTACCCGGCCTTCCTGGGGCCCGATGAAGCCTTCGCATTGCCGGACTCGCTGCTTGTGGTGCTGGACATGGACGAGGGCACGCTCAGCTTCGTTGTGGACGGCCAATACCTAGGCGTGGCCTTTCGGGGTCTCAAGGGCAAGAAGCTGTACCCGGTGGTGAGTGCTGTGTGGGGCCACTGTGAAGTCACCATGCGCTACATCAATGGCCTTGACCGTAAGTGCACCGGCTCGGTGGGGAACGGAGAAGTTCCAGAGTCTGCCTGTCCCTAGGATTGTTGGGGAGGGGGACCAGAGGCAGCAGGTGAAGCCCCGCCCTTCCTCAGCACTTTGGGTAACCCTGCCATGTGTAGAGCGTGAGTAGAATGTGGACTCTGGGACCAAGCTATTGGGTTTGATTCTTAACTCTCCTTTGCTGGCTTAGAGATCTTGGACTATGGCTCAGTTTCCTTACCTGAAAATGTGGCACAGTGTTAATAATTTTGGTCAGGGTTGTGTTGAAGATGGAACAAGATAATAATGTTTGTGAAATGATTAGAACCGTGACTGGCACCTAGTAAGGGCTCTGAGTGTTGATGCTAATTTCGAATCCTTCAGTCTGTTTAAGAGTTATGCAAAATGATGTGTCCTGTGCGCCCAGCCTCCTGCTCACAGCAGAAGCAGAGTGGCAAGTAAAAGACACAGGCCTTGTCTTGAATGCCATGCACTCAAATTACTGATAAATAACAAATACTGATAACAACAGATATCATTTATCGACCACCTACTATATGCAGGGTTGAACACCAAAATAATGCCAGCACTTCCTGGTGAACTGTATATTAAAGAGGCCACTGCCTCTCCTCTCTAGAGGAATTAGAGCTGCAAGTTGTGGTATCTTCCAGTTTTTCCAAAAGGATCCAGAAATCTAGATTTTGAACTGTCCCAGTTTAAACTTGGTCGCTATGGAAAACATGGTGTGGGCCAACAAACCACCCTGCAGGCTGCAGACAAGCCCATAGCTGCTGGGTTTGACTCCTAAGAATTCTAAGGCTGTGTCTCATTTAGGATACACAATCATCCTGTGAGGCCCCAATAACAGAAGTGGTTATTGGTCTTAGGATTGGGTCACCCCTGGGGGCCTCTAGACAGAGGGGCACACAGACGCCTATCCCACAACCATGAGTGGGACCTCTAGGCTTACACACTCCTGGTCCAAACAGACATCCTGCCATATCCCTGACGAAGCTCACAGGGGTGGGTGCTGAAAGCCAGAATTTCACTTTCTTCATTGGCACTGAGAGATATAATTGCCCCCATTTCAGAGATGAGAAAACTGAAGAGCAGGGCCACAGAGAGCTAGGACCACGTCTCCCCAGGCTTGTCAGCCTCTGAACCCCACTCTTTTTTCATGCTTCCCCTTTAAGTTCAGGGACCAAGAGTAACACTCAAGAAAAAGAAGAACAAGATTTACTCAAGTAAGATTTACAGTTATTCAGGCACAGGGTGGGGTGGCTCTTCAAGGGTGGCAGGCCAGCGGGCCCTGTCTGTTGTGCTCAGCTCTCTGGGATAATTGGTGACATTCTTGCTCGTATTTTATTTTCATGGTTGTTGGACTAAGATTGCTGTCAAATACCACAGTGTTGTTCTGTTTCCTCAAATTAACTGGTTAAATCTGGGAACAGATGAGTGTGTCCCGAGAAGACTAGTGTAGTGCTTCCAGTGCCTTATGGAGAATGTCTGGATCCCTCACAGATATGGTGACCAGGCAAACCTCAGTGCTGAGAAAACCAACACCAACAACACTCTCTTAAAACAGAATTGGCAAGTTTACTTGCCAGAATTGACCCCTAGACTAGACAGGTAGACTTCATGAAAAGTTCTCGTGTCTGATATCCCCTCTTTTCAACTTGCACCCCTAACGCTCAGTGGTTTTGTGCCTTCGGTGAGTCAGTCTAATGCCTTATCACTCATTTCACTCATCTGTACATTGGGTCGGCATCAGGTCCCTTTCATAGCTGCTGTGAGATCTTGTGCAGTGGCATCAATAATATGGGAGCTGGGATTAAAGGCTGATGTTGATACCCCATGGGAACTACCTGAGCCAACGGTTGGGCCCCCGTGGTGGGCTTCCTCTTGCATATTGATTCACACTCAGGTGTTCTGCTGCTTAGTTTTCAGGTACAAAGCTAAGGTGCTAACAAGGTTGCAAGCAGTGACCCTTCCATGCACGATAGGACTAGGAGCAATCAAGCCATGGTATCCTCCTTGACATGTTGCTCGGGGTGGGGGTCTGGGTGGGAAAGGACCGTTGTGTTTGGGGCATTTTGAGCTCTTTGATCCTTCCGATGGCTAAAGACTTGATGAGACTGAAATTTGGAGTGTTCCATCCTCCCCCATTGATGGTGGGTTTTTTTCATGACTTCCTGGACTCAAGGGGAGTCCAGGAGGTCTTGCAATACAAGCCTGTGGCATCTTCCATTCGGTGACAGGATTTACTTGTCTCCTGTGGCACTGGCATAGTCCCTACATAAGAGTAATGTTCTCTGTCTCGGGCAGGGTATGCCTTCAGGAAGGGGGGTCCAGCTTCTCTGGGCTTCAAAAGGCCCGTGGTCAGTGGGACAAGCCCTGACAATAAGGTGGGCCACAGCACAGGCTGCAGTGGAGCCTGACAGGAGCTGGTTTGGGAAAGGCCTCTGTGATGCCTTTACCTGCTCACCTGGGCTGAAGTCCACCAGTGGATCCCTGGGCACTGGGAAAGGTTGGCCCTAGGGAGTCTCTGGGCAGAGCAGGTGACCTAAGGTGGTGTTTTGTGCCTGAGAAGAACTCTGAGCCACATTAATTGTGGAATGTGGCAGGTCCCTAAACTCAGACCCTACTGGGATGTGGCCTCAATTAGAGACCAGCTCAAGAGCAGAAAAGGTGGGGCTGCTCTCTGGAGTTGCTTCCCCACAAGATCATGGGGACAGATCTCTGCCCAGGGCCCCTCGCAGGCCCCAAGGCTCTCCAGGAGGCCATGGACAATGATCACCTCCTCTCTTGGAACCTCTTGGTTCTCCTTTGTAAAATGGGCACGATAAAGCTCGCCCGCACAGGGCAGACACACAGGAATTGGTGCTCGCTTCTTTGATTGACTAGGGGAGCTGGGCCAGGTCCTGGGGTCCACCTATGGGTTAAAACAAAAATGGCCTTCATAGAGGCTTCTCTTCTAATTTGAATAAAGGAAGTTAATGGATACCATTTTCTCCATCTTTTTGAATTTTCATGACTGTAAAAGCAAGACTTAGAAAGTGCTAACCACATTTAACTCTGAAGCATGTGTGTTTTGAGAGCAAGAGCTCCTGGAAATGCTGTTTCCTTTGCAAATGTGTTTCTTCAGCTTTGCCATGAAGTGAAACAGCTCAGCATCTTGGGTTCACTGTAAAGAGCTGCAAGACGCCAGGAGCTCTGCCTCCTGAGTGAGCTGAAGAAACATGAAGACAGCCTGCCCATTTGCTGTCTCCAGATGACAGGATCCAGGGCCCAAATAATAACAACAGCAATAACTAACATAATAACAGCAAAAACTAATAGAGTGCTTAGTCTGAGATGGGCTCTGTTCTAAGCACTTTACGAATTCTAACTCACTTAATCCTTGTAACAACTCTTTGAGCTAAAAACTTGTATTACCACCTTTATTTTATGATGAAGAATTGAAACATGGAGACCCTGAATAAGTTGCTCAAGTTCACACAGCTAGTGACTGGAGGAACCAGGGTTCACATTGGCCGTCTGGTCCAATGGGCCCCCTTGCAGACAAGACAGGAAGAAGACAGACAGGAGGGGCTGCTTCACCTGGCCAGGTGCAGCAAAGGGCGGGACCCTGTCCTTCAGCCATGAGTTTGTGTGAGGCCCTGAGATGCTGTCCCTGTTTTTCCTCCTCCCACCGGTTTCCTCTCCAACCCTCAAAGCCCTTGGCTCTGCACAGAACTCCTCGGGGTGTTCCAAAAAGCTAGTTGCATAAAGGCAGTCCCCGCAGTGGCTGTACATCAGGCAGGCTTTGATTGCTAACAGAATAATGTCACTGAAAATGTCCCAACTGCTATAAGGTTCAGCCCCTGGGGTGGGCCAGGCCTTTGGAATCAGTTCTGGGCTGGTTTCAGGAATTGCCCCTGGGCTCAAGCTCCTGGCTCCTCCTCCATGCTGGCTGCCAGGAGGGCTAACAGACTGGCTTTGTCTGCTGTCTTGGAGTTCTTGGGTGGTGAGTGGTGTGTGAGTGACACAGGAAGTGGAAAAGAGCCACAGACAGAGGAAAGCTGGCATGGCGTCCCAAGCAGCTTTGATTTGGGGGTCATAATAATTATACTTTTTTAAAGATACCACCCATGTTTCATGCCTTGAACCGAGTGTTGTACTCCTTTCATTCTTTTTGTTGTTGTTGTTCACATAATAAACCTTGAGGCAATGTGACTATTATTACCTCCATTTTATAAAAAATGAAACTGACTCTTAGAAGGTGAAGAATTTGCCCAAAGCCAGGCAGCTAGCAGGTAGCAGAGCTGTACTTAAACCCAGGTCATAGCCGCTGCTGTGCCCCGCCCCCTGCTGCCCGCGCCAGCTCTGCCTCCGTTCTGCCCACAGAGCAGGGCCTGATTCCACAGAGCAGGTGTCCTGAGCTGACTTTCCGGGGGATGGAGAGTGGGAACCGTGGGCTCTCGGGCCAAACTGGCAGAGCGGGCTTGTCTGCCTGCATCAAGTCAGGGAAATTGTATTTCCAGACGTAGTTCCTAGATGGTTTAATTGATCTGCCAACAACTATTTATTGGCGCAGTGGCTCGGCAGAAGAGGCTGGCGGCCAGCCAAGTTTTCTGGTATTGATGAAGGCCAGAGAGAGTTTTCTACCAGGATGACTGCAAGGACACCATCCCCTTGCCAGAGCTGTCCTCCCAGCCTGCGCTGAACTCGCGACCTTCCTGCTCAACTCCCACGTGTCTCCTGGGTGGTATGGTCCCCGCAGCCTTGCTGACATCTGGATTCAGCTCCTCTTCCCTCCTGACCAGGTCTGGGCCCGGTCCCCACTTCACCCTGCTGCCCTATCATTCCACCCTGACTCCAGTTCCCCCCTGGCCCCCAGCCCAGGGCTCTGTCCCCTGCACCCCCAATTCAGCACTGAGTCCTCCCCGTCCACGTCATTCGCTCACTTTCACATGGCCCTGCCTCCTTTCCCCAGATGGGTAGGAGGTTCCTCGGGGCACAGAG